ACACTTTTTGCGTTGGAATTTAAATATTATTTTTCCTACTTCTTCTTTTTCCCTCTTCTCTCATCCTCCTATCCCATCTAAGAAGAAGAAGAAGAAGAAGTAGGATGAAAATAAGAATAATTCCAAGCGGCAAAAGTGTATCTGCAGAGCTCCTCTAAGTGTAATCTGCAGAATGTCATTTATGGAAACAAATAGATACAATGTTTCAACCGCTGTATGGGGAATCGTGAATGTCAATATCACAGAACTGTCAGAAATAGACATAGACAGAAACTGTCACAGAAACTGTCTCTTCTCATCCTTCTCCTTCTTCTCATCCCTTCTCCATCTTATCCTTCTCCTTCTTCTCATCCTTCTCCTTCTTACTCATCCTTCTTCTCATCCTTCTTCTCATCCTTCTCCTTCTTCTCATTCCTTCTGACCTTCTTCTTCATCAGCCTTCTCCTTCTTCTCATCCTTCAGCCTTCTTCTCATCCTTCTCCTTCTTCTCATCCTTCTCCTTCTTCTCATCCTTCTCCTTCGTTCTCATCCTTTCTCCTTCTTCTCTTTCTTCTCATTCCTTCTCCTTCTGTCTCATCCTTCTCCTTATACTCTTCTTCATCTTCTTCTCATCCTTCTCCTTCTTTCCTCATCCTTATCCTTCTTCCTTCATCCTTCTTCTTACCTCTATCCTTCTTCATCATCCTTCTTCTTATCCTTCTCCCTTCTTCTCATCCTTCTCTCCTTCTTCAAATCCAGTCTAGAGACATAAATTGTGTCTGCAGCACAGAGAAGGAAGATTATCCGAGAGAAATCCAGGAATACAGGACGGGGAACACAGCTCAGGAAAGTGACCAGGGGATTACAGGCTGATATCACCCAGTCCCCGCCCTACTCTGGACCAATCAGTGAGCAGTATGGGTGGAGGAATGGATTTAGTGTTCATGACCCACCTGTGCTGATCTCTGTAGGAGTGTCCTCCTCTATAAATGTCCCCGTTATTCCATCCTCCTCCATAGACTGCTGATCATCCCTCACATACGCCTCTTCTTCTTCTGCTTTCACCTCAAATTCTATATCGATTGGATCTCCACTCTAAATCAAGGAAATGAGAGAAATATCATCTGTAAAATGTAAGGCTCACATAAAAAATCCACACATCATCATCACAAGTCCATGTTCTAGATTCTCCATCCCACCAACCTTGTAATAGTGAGGGATGGTGTGACCTTCCTGTGTGGAATCCCGGGAAATACAGAGGACGGGGACATCTCTCTGGTGGGTTCCTGGTATTAGGTGGCTCCATCATATCCTTGTGTCCTTCTGAAAACTCCTCCATCACTCCATACTCCTCATCCTCCTCTTTACTCTTCTTTAACATCAATATTATCATCCCCGAGGATTCCACTCTGAAAGATATAATAAAACATTCATTGTAACAAACATGCTGTGTATAAATCACAACTACCAATAATTGTCATCATCTACCTGATGATGGTGAGGGATGGTGTGACCTTCCTGTGTGGAATCCCGGGAATACAGAGGACGGGGACATCTCTCTGGTGGGTTCCCATGACTGGATCCATCTGTAGGAAACACACACACTGACTGAATCCATTGTTTCTATGTGTTTATCAGATGATGGGGGATCTAGGTGGATCCTCCGTACTGCTCTCTCCTTTACAATAAAGTCTCCTCTTACCCGGTGATGTGAGGGGCGGCTGATTGTCCATCATGACGTCCTTGTAGAGATCCTTGTGTCCTTCTAAATACTCCCACTCCTCCATGGAGAAATAGACAGTGACACCCTGACACCTTATAGGAACCTGACACACACAATGATACAGTCACCATCCAGACACATCCCTTGTCTGTTACTGGAGAATGTCCCAGAATTCCCGGCACCGCTCACCTCTCCTGTCAGCAGCTCCATCATCTTCTTGGTGACTTCTAGAATCTTCTGCATGTTGTGTCTCTCAGGGTTTAGGGAGTCACATGGAGGCACTGTGATGGTCATATGATCACCTGACTTCAGAAGAGGAAATCTCTGTATTGAGGAACCAATAGGAATATCATGTTGGAATCCCAGAATCCTCCTCACCTCTCCGGTCAGGTCTGTGTTTTATTAATAGAGATAAGAGTGATGTCATGTGACCTCCCAGAATCCTCCTCACCTCTCCGGTCAGGTCTGTGTTTTATTAATAGAGATGAGAGTGATGTCATGTGACCTCCCAGAATCCTCCTCACCTCTCCAGTCAGGTCTGTTTTATTAATAGAGATAAGAGCGATGTCATGTGACCTCCCAGAATCCTCCTCACCTCTCCGGTCAGGTCTGTGTTTTATTAATAGAGATGAGAGTGATGTCATGTGACCTCCCAGAATCCTCCTCACCTCTCCAGTCAGGTCTGTTTTATTAATAGAGATGAGAGTGATGTCATGTGACCTCCCAGAATCCTCCTCACCTCTCCGGTCAGGTCTGTGTTTTATTAATAGAGATGAGTGATGTCATGTGACCTCCCAGAATCCTCCTCACCTCTCCGGTCAGGTCTGTGTTTTATTAATAGAGATAAGAGTGATGTCATGTGACCTCCCAGAATCCTCCTCACCTCTCCAGTCCTCTGTTTTATTAATAGAGATAAGAGCGATGTCATGTGACCTCCCAGAATCCTCCTCACCTCTCCGGTCAGCAGGTAGATGATCTCCAGGGTGAGGTTTAGTATCTTCTCAGTCATGTGACTCCGGTCCTCCTCCATCCTCATTGGTGCCATCATGTGATCTATACAGGTCTCCTTGTAGACGGATAACTTTGGGAAATGAAAGTAAGAATGATTTGGATGGTATTGGTCACACAATAATAGGATGTGGATGTGAGGGGGGAATAGGAGGGTTGCTGGACATTGAAGAACTACTCTCCCCATGGGAAGACATTTTGTTTGGACTGTTTAGTGTTTACTACAATTTTGAGGTCCGGGGTCCCCTTTACTCTGTTGGGTTTGTTTGGTCCCTGAACTGGTTTTGATGAGTTTTAGATCTGCAGACAAGGAATGATTATTATTATTATTATACAGTATTTATAAAGCGCCAATAGTTCGCTCAGCGCTGTACATTACAATGGGGGACAGAACATGTGACAGAACAATACCAATACAATGCAAAACATGAGGGGATTGAGGGCCCTGCTCTTTCGAGCTTACAATCTAGGAGGGAGGGGATGGTGGCACAGGAGGAGATAGCTGTGGGGGATGGAGTGGTAGGAAGAGTGGAGGAGGTCGGCAAGTTAGCAGGGGTGGGGTAGGCTTCCCTGAAGAGATGTGTTTTCAGGGTGCGCCTAAAGGAGAGGAGAGTAGGTGATAATCTGATGGGTTGGGGAAGGGAGTTCCAGAGGATGGGTGACACCCTGGAAAAGTCCTGGAGGCGGGCATGGGAGGAGGAGACCAGGGAACTAGAGAGAAGGAGGTCTTGTGAGGAGCGGAGTGTGCGTGTTGGGCAGTACTTGGATATTAGGTCAGTGATGTAGTTCGGGGCAGTATGGTGGACAGCTTTGTACGTCAGTGTTAGGATTTTGAATTTGATCCGTTGCGCAATCGGAAGCCAGTGGAGGGATTGGCAGAGGGGGGTGGAGGACACTGAATGGAGGCCAGTGGAGGGATTGGCAGGTGGGGGGTGGAGGTCACTGAGTGGAGGCCAGTGGAGGGATTGGCAGAGGGGGGTGGCGGAAACGGAGCAGTTGGAAAGGTAAATGAGTCTGGCAGCCGTATTCAGGATGGACTGAAGCGGGGATAGCCTGTGGTGAGGCAGGCCAGTGAGGAGGGGTTGCAGTAGTCTAGTCGTGATATGATGAGGGAGTGGATGAACTGTTTAGTGGTTTCTGGGGTTAGGAACGTGCAGATTTTGGCGATGTTGCGGAGGTGGAGTCTGCATGTTGCGGAGTGGAGTCTGTTAAGATTGGACTTGTTAAAGATTGGGACTTGGGGCTGGAAGGATAGGTTGGAGTCCAGAATGACACCCAGTACTCTGGCCTGCAGGGCGGGTTTGATATTGGCGTTGTTGGATGTGATGGAGAAGTCAATGGGGGGTGGGGTTCGGGGGGGGGGGAGACCAGAAGCTCGGTTTTGGAGAGATTCAGTTTAAGGAAGTGGAGCGACATCCAGGTCTGATATGTCGCTCAGTAGGTGTGTGATTCGGGCTGAGACCGAGGGGGTGAGGTGGGGGGTTGAGAGATAGATTTGTGTGTCGTCGGCATAGAGGTGGTAGTTGAAGCCGTGAGAGTGTATGAGTTGGCCAAGGGAGGAGGTGTAGATGGAGAAGAGAAGGGGCCCAAGGACAGAGCCTTGAGGGACCCCAACAGAGAGGGGGAGTGAGGGGGAGGTGGTAGCATTATAGGTAACGCTGAAAGAGCGTTGTGACAGGTAGGATGAGAGCCAGGAGAGAGCAGAATCTCTGAGGCCGAGGGAGTGTAGTATTTTGAGGAGGAGGGGGTGGTCAACTGTGTCGAAGGCCGCAGAGAGGTCAAGGAGTAGGAGCACTGAATAGTGGCCATTAGCTTTGGTGGTTAGCAGGTCGTTGGAGAGTTTGAGTAAGGCGGTTTCGGTGGAGTGTAGGGGATGGAAGCCGGACTGTAGGGGATCGAGGAGGTTGTTGTCGTTGAGGTGAGAGCATAGGCGGGTGTAGACGAGGCGCTCGAGGAGTTTAGATGTAAATGGGAGCAGGGAGATGGGTCTGAGGTTGTTCGGGTCATTGGTGTCCAGGGAGGGCTTTTTAAGTATGGGGGTGATGTGTGCATGCTTCAGTGGGGAGAGGAAAGTGCCGGAGGAGAGGGAGAGATTAAAGATGTGGGTGAGGGAGCGTAGGATGGAGGAGGAGGGAGGTCGTAGGAATTGTGAGGGGATAGGGTCGAGGGGGCAGGTGGTGAGGCGGGCATCAGAGAGGATCTTGGAGACTTCCTCGATGGTAGTAAGGTCAAAGGTGTGGAGTGTTGGGGGGCTTCAGTATGAGGAATGTAGGGTGGGGTGGAAGTGGAGGTCAGAGCAGTGGTGGGGCCGTGGGAGAGGGGTGATGAGGGGGTAGCTGAGTGAGGGGGAACGGGGTTAGAGGGAGTTTGAGGAGTGACGAAGTCCCTGCGGGTAATGTCGAGGGGGAGGGGGGATGAGGGGGTAGCTGTGTGAGAGGGGACGGGTTGAGAGGGGGTGTGAGTTGCGGCGATGTCCTTGCGAATTGTGTCAATCTTGTTTTTGAAGTGATTGGCAATCTCAAGGGTGGTGAGTGAGGTGCTGGGTGGAGGTGGGGGTGGAGAGAGTAGAGAGTTGAAGGTGGAGAAGAGTCGGCGAGAGGATTGGAGGAGAGGGCCTTGATGAGGTCAGGAAGTAGGCTTGTTTGGCTGCGTGGAGGGAGGAGGTGTAGGTGTGGAAGGCAGATTTGTAGCGGGTAAAGGCTTGTTGGGATTTTGTTTTGCGCCATAGTCGCTCCAGGGCACGACTGTGTCGTTTGAGGGTTTTGGTGTGATCAGTCTGCCAGGGCTGGAGCGGTCGGGGTCTGATGTTGCGTGTGGTTAAAGGCGCTAGTGAGTCAAGGGCTGCTGACAGCGCGTTGTTGTAGGCAGTCATAGCCAAGTCGGGGCAGGACAGGGGGAGGATGCTGTCATGGAGTTGATCAGCTGCGGAGTGGAGGGGGGCAGGGTTAAGGTTGCGGAGGTTACGGCTGGTAGTAGTGTGATTTTTGGAGGGGTAGGTGTTGGAGGACGAGGAGATAGAGAAGGTAATCAGGTTGTGGTCAGAGAGAGGGAAGGGGGTGTTAGTGAGGTTGTGGGGAGCGCAGCGGTTGGAGAAAGACAAGGTCCAGGATATTTCCGTCGGAGTGGGGTGGTGGATTGTATGCACTGTGCAAGTGTAAAGGAGGAGGTTTAAGTGGAGGAGACGGGCTGTGTCCGGGTTGTCAAGGTTGACAGGGATGTTGAAATCCCCAAGAATGATGGTGGGTAGCTCAGAGGAGAGGAAGAAGGGTAGCCAGGAGGAAAAGTCATCCAGGAAGCGGGGTATGGATCCAGGAGGCCGGTATATCACAGCAATCTTCAGGGGGGTTGGGGAGAATAGTCGGACGCAGTGGGCCTTGAAGGAGGAGAAGGATAGGGAGGGGGGGTTTGGGAGGACTCAGAAGGTGCTCTGCGGTGACAGGAGCAGACCAACCCCACCACCTTTACGACCGTTGGGCCTGGGGGATGAGTGGGTCCAGGTGAGACCTCCGTAGGAGAGTGCAGCAGGGGAGGTAGAGTCAGTGGGCTGGATCCAGGTTTCCGTGATCGCTAGGAGGTTGAGGGAGCGGGAAACAAAGAGGTCGTGGATGGCGGTAAGCTTGTTGCACACCGATCGGGCGTTCAGGAGTGCGCATGAAAACGGGGGGGAAGATTTTAGGGAGCAGGGGGACAGATACTAGGTTGCGGGGGTTGCGGTAGGGACGTGGAGGCGGGAGGGTGTTGTGTGGGTGAGGGTGGGTGGTGGAGGGCCAGGATTTGGGGAGATGTCCCCCGCGGCTAGGAGGAGGAGAAGGGTGAGAAAGGTGGCATGGGAGCGGGATGTGCAGGAGCGTGAGAAACTACTAGTGGAGGTGTTCGGGGTCAGTGGGGTGAGCGGAGTAATAGGAGGAGGTGGTGGGTGCCATAGAGGGGCGAAAGGAAGCAGTGAGGACACAATATACAAATGTTTAGGAGGAGCAGAGGGATATAGTGAATGGATTTTGAGAATGGAGGAGAGGAAAATGAGAAGGAGGAGTGGAAGAGGCATTTTGGGGGGGTGATGAGAGCAGCAGTAGGGAGATGATAGCAATAAGGGGGGAGATGTACAAGTTTTGGGGTGGAGCAGAGGGGTAAAGAAATGAGATTTGGGAACAGAGGATAGTAATATGAAGAGGAGAAGAGGGGTGTATTATATAAAGGTACACAGTAAACCGAGTGGGGACTCAGGTATGTAAGAGAGGTTTCCCGGGGTGTTTGCTTGCAGTCTGTCCAGCGTGCAGTAGAGTTTCTTGTTGGTGTCTTCCTGCTGCTTAAGTTCAACTGCTGTGTTTAACTGCTTCGCACTCTTTCGAAGCCGCACTCAATCTGAAGCAGCACCCTCATCAGAGACTGTGCCCCCCATCAGAGATCTCCCCCCATGAGCTGATCTAAATTTATAGGGAGATGCTCAAATGAGCATTCAACTCCACCCCAATTAGAAGCTGATAAGGCTCACATGAATAGTGGGGGATGTTTCTTAGGAACCAGGCTACAGTCATAAACTGGGTGCAACTGGAGGTGAGGACTGGTCAACATACACAAATATAAATACACCATTTGTTCTGAATATAACAGGAGTCAATGCGATTTTGAGTTAGGAGTGGAGGTAGGAGAGATGCATTACCCAGAATGATAAATCTGATCCTTCCTATGACTAGTTTGCTCTGAGGCAGTGCTGTGAGGTCAATGTCGGCTCATCATGCAGGGATGGTCACTTTACATCACCCGACGCCCGGGACATGTAGTTCTGGGGGCCGGGCAAGTATTGTGTTTAATCTTTATCCCTGCTGAGGGCAAGCCGCAGGGCTCTCCTTTCAGGTGCCAGCCTCTGCCACCCCATGTGTGTGATCCTCTCCTGTACCTACTATGCTTCCCGGCTCTGCTTGCCCATCTGTGGGCCCGGGTCAGCGGGTGTCGGAGGGTAGAGGGGACAGAGGAGAGCGGACACATTCACTCCCTTCTTGTCCTGACCCAGAAGTGACATTATGACTGATTTCCCAACCATCGAGGCCGGCAAAGAATGTAATGCGGTGCGATGTGCACTACATTACATCCAATGGAGTACAGAGGAGACATTGGGGGTCTTTTAGACCTTGGATGTCTCAATAAAGAGAACCTGTCATCAAAAGTCATCTCATAGAGGACTTTGTCCCCTCAAGTAAAAATGTTTTTTTAATTGTAAAGAATTAAAGTTACACCCAAATATATAACTCCTCTCCTTAAAAAATGTTGAGGCTCCCCACCCCCACATTATGGCGCACCCAAACATAAGAGCACACGCTGGAGGGCCTACACGTGATAACATTGATTGTGATACACGTTACATATCGCCGGTCACACCAGAATGAGAGGATAATTCTAGGAGCAGACCTCCTCCGTACTCTATACTGATGACCTAGAAGGGGCTATAAATGTGTCACCTATAGATAATACCGGGGACTAAAGGTTGTCACCATTTCAGCACACACAACTTAAGGTTTGACATGTTGGATATCTATTTACTCGCTGCAACCTCGGCTTTTATATTTTTACACATAAATGGGTCATTTATTGCTTTTTTGTGCCCTTTGGGTGTATTTCCTAGACTTTGTGATAATATTTTGTGACATAAAAAAATAGAACTGCCGCTATTTTCTCTAAAGTCTCTACTTTCAGAAAATCAATATTTTGGGGGTTTTGTGTCATCTTTAGGGCTAAAATGATTTTTTGCTATAAAGCCCCTTTCATTTTTTTTTTGTTTACAAACGATTTTATTTTTCAAAGAGTAGACTGAAAATAACAGTACAGCGTCAAACAATGTGTACAGTATTAACAAGGCACACTTGAATCGTACAATTCAGAAAGGCACATCATATAGAAAGGGTAAAAAAAAGAGAAAAGGAAAGGAGAATAGATCCTAAGTACATGAGAAATATAAAGGGAAAAGTAGACTGAATGATATATGTGTGAACAGGACACGTCAATCAACCTTCACATGGAATGCCACTATTCATGTAGTAAATGTCTCTGAACCTTCCATGATTCCCATTTTCTATCAGACAAGTGCATCTTGTCCAGTAAGTTATAATGAATTCTCTCCATGAGCATCACAGCATCTACTCTATGTAACACAGAGGCCAATGGTACAGTGATAGATTCCCAATGTAGGGCGATAGCCCACAAAGTAGAAATACAAATAGTATGTATCAATGTCATAACATTATCAGGAACCCCCGGGATACGAGCTCCCAATAGGAAGACTGTATAGTCAGACGTACCGGAACACCCACCAGTGAAGTCACCAACTCAGATATCCTGCCCACACCAAGGATAAAGTTGGGCAAGCCCACAACGTGTGTACCAAAGTACCGGTGAGGCCGCAGCAGCCCCGAAACATAACGGGGACGTTTGTGGGTACAAAATGTGTAGCCTTGACGGGGTATAATACCATCTGGTTAATACCTTGAGGGCCGTCTCACGGACAGAAAGAGATGGAGAGCTCTTACATATGTTATCCACCATGGAATCCCAATCCTCATCCGAAAAGGTGATACCACTATCCTCCTCCCATTTTTGTCTCTATAAAGGAGGTGAGGGAGAGAGACTGACCAGGAATTGGTGATATACAGATCAGAGATAAGACCTTTGCCCCTGGGAGAGTCACGGCTGATACGTTCAGAAATCGGAGATGAAGGTGTAAGGCCAAAATGTGAGTTAAAAAAAATGTCTAATCTGTGGATAACGATGATATTCACGAAGCGGAACATCAAAAAGTCCGCACATCATATCAAAGGGAATATAAGATCCTCCACTTTGACAGTCAGACAACCTAATAAAGGATCTATCGTACCACCAACGAAACGCCTGAGGAGAAGAAAATGCTGTACTAAAGTTAGGGTCACCAAAAAACGATACACCCGGGGAAACAGAAGAGACCAGATTTCATTGAAGTTTCCATCGAGACCAAAGTGTCAATGAATGGCCACAACAGAGTTAGAAAAAGTTAACGATCGAGGGAGGATTTTGGACCATAAAATACCCGGTAAATAAAATGGGCGTATAGATTGAGATTCAAATCTAACCCCGGGATCTGGGAGTTAACAGTCGCCCATTGTGATAATTGT